CCCCATAAAAAGAGCACTTAATTCAACATACAACATATTGCCATTGGAAATTCTAGAAGTAAAATCATATAAAACTCACCTTGATGACCCCTTATGATACCGCCGCAACCAACACCACTACTAGTAATAGAACCATCAACATTAAGTTTAAATTCGTGAACTATGAGGTTTGATCCACCTCAATATTATAGGATTTCCATACCTTTCAAAGTTTATACAATTAATGTTAAAATACAATAAGCAATTGTGAAATAAAAAATGAGATGTTTAAACCTTAACTATATATTTAAGAAATAAGAAAGCTAATATGGGCCTACTAAAATGATAATTGGCATGCAGCTGTGATATCAACATAAGTAGCATAACCCTTTAACCAATTGTGCTAACATGTCTAATTAGGTACCGTTAGTTATAAAAATATTTATTTTATTATTATTGGGTAAGTGGGCTCGAGCCCTAGGGCCCCCACTATAGATTTTTTTCTGACCTTAGTTTTAGGCATGAGGCTTAGCATTCCTGTTTGATTTCTTAATATTAATTACTTGGAAGCCCTTTCTCTTCATAAGCCACATATATTCATATAATTTTATTGATATATTTTCATCACTCTTAATCATCTACTTATTATTTCTTATAACGCATCTCTCTGTTTGCTCTTCCTTGCGATATTATTTGCATGTGTTGATGATGCTAAGACACTTGCAGACATATCTCATATGAATAAAAATCCTACCAAAACACTATTCTATTAAATCTTAAAGGAAATAAAAAAAAACACACTTAATTATAGATTTTTCAGAGCCCTTGTCTAAGATATAGATCAACCAGAGGACATTAACATGCGGAAATCGATCATCTAAAAGAAGATAAATTCATATTGTTTCAACATATGTGTAGATAAGGGAAAATTTTGGTTATATGATATATATATATGGTATATATATATATTATATATAATATTATATTATATATATATATATTAGGTATATATTATATATAATGTATTATATGGTAAACCGGCTGTGGTCTACGTGTTAATATCAAAAAGCGGGTTACAAAGTCCTTTATATAGGAAATCAACTAGCTTCGCTAATGCTGAGAGAGCTACAATTCAAAAAGTAAAAAAACCTATGAGCTGTGGTCCTTGTCTAGGAGTACAATTTAAGCAGAAAAAGAACTAGGGCTGTAAATTATCTATCTATCTCAAAAAGGGAGCTCAGAAAAGTATGAGTTCAGCAAAGACGTCCTGCAAAAAAGAAGATACAAAAAGATATATATCATCTCTAATTAAAGAGCCCATATATATTTGATACCTGTGTCTTAACATTTGGATCGGGAGTGACAACAGAAATATATAACATGCCAAACATACTCCAAAAGCCAAGTTATTAGACAGATAAAAGTAACACAGATAACTGAACTGCAAGAAGATAGAATAAGTGTTGCTTTTTAAAAATGAGAAAGACTTGCAAAAAAATCGAAAGCGTATTCCCGACCAGCAAATAGGAACAGCAAACGCGAAAGACATCAGCAGCACCTCAAAAAACCTGAGGTTCGACTTGGTATATATATAATATATAAACTATATATATATTTATTGCCATCCTTCAAAACAACCCATATTAGAAACTGATAGCACCACTGCACCTCAATACACACTATTAAATAAATCATAATAATACTTGAGATTCACTGCGGAAGAAAGGAAAATAGAAAGATGCTCTAATTTTACTTCCACCACACACAGTAGCCCAGTTATATATATATCTTATATCTATCACGAACGCCAAATTGATCGAAACAAAAGGAAACCAGCAAAAACATAGTGCAGCAGTAAAAAAAAAATACATAAAGGTAAAATTAATGAAAATATAACAAAGAGGATCAGAGAAAATAAACAGAAAAACTTTAACCTATATATATATATATTTATATTTAACTATATCTAATGTAAGCGCAAAGCCCACTTATCAAGATTGATCTTATATCTCTATATATATATCAAATCATGGATATATTATTCTTATAAAGGATATGTTGCCCAACCTCCTTTTAGCTAACCAATCAGGACACCTATTAGCTTCACATAGATATGAGATAGTATTAAGTTTAATAGTGAGACAAGAAGCAGTTTAATTTCGCTTATAAGATAAAAAATTTGCGGATTGCCAGGAAACAGATGTTTATTAATAATGCTGGATAAGTAACAACCATCAACCTCAATCCAAATACATATTAAAGCCCTTGTTAGCACAAATTTCAGACAAAAAAAAAAAAAAGAGCATAAAGTGCGTCGAGATCGTGATAATAAATTAGGCATGAGTGATGTTAATCGGAGTGAGAAAGCTGCGCCAATAGCTTACCCGTGCAGCACCTAATAATACCACCAGCACCGCACCATAGGACCAGTAAATCATCAGAATTCAGCTTAAAGTAAGAGTGTGTGGGTTTATCCAAGACCCATAATATCCGCAGAATATATCGATATCTCTATATATATATTCCTCTATATTCAAAGCCAAATGTTAATAGTTCTTACATTTTTTTTTTTTGAAATGAGCTTGTTAGGAGTGCTCTTAAATTTGAAAAATTTTCTGCTTAACATTAGAAATTGATGATTTTGCATAATCCATCTTAATACCATTGTGGCTTGCTTATTGTGAGCTTTCCAAATAAACCAAACAATAAGAATTAGGAATGAGGTTGAAAATGTGACCTTTGAAATATGGAAGCCAAGCTGGTTTTGATAACAGAAAATAAGATTGTCTGCAAATTACCAAACCTGCTTGTTTGCAGATATTAATTAAAGAAATTCCAAACTTGTTGAAGCAATGACACCAGAAGCAAAAAAAGATGATCATGTCCTCAATATCCGAGCAACACATGCACTTAGAAATATCCTGAAAACCTTTCAGGTTGGAGGTTCTAGCATCCATCGGATTGGTAACCTTTGAACATCTCCAAAGTAAAAGTTAGAGTTAAGGGAAAGGGGAAAATTAAGTATGCCAAATTTGGCAGAGTATAAATTAGAGTTGTCTTCTTGATTCTAAGCTTCCAATATCTTTTAAACTAAGATTGCCAGAGACAAAAGAGAGAATAAAATAACGTTCTTGTATCACGGAGTTTGAAGAAAGCATCTAAAAGATTTTTTTTCAACAGATGAAAGGAAGGAACCATCTCCAACAATTTTTAGTAAATTTCCCAAGGTGTCATTGTTAAAAAGATTAAACTTTAATACTACTTAAAGACCGAGTATTAAGTAAAGAGTCATAGAAAATAATCAAGCCAATTATCTTGCCAGAAAAAAATGTCACCTTACCAAGCCCCATTGAATAAAATGTGTATGTCTTTTTCTTTAACTATGTATTCTGTTTTCTTTTTATTTATAAAGTGAATTATATTTATCTTTCAAGGTAGTATAATCTTCTCTCGATGAAGTACTCAAAAGGAAAACAAAATGATATTGTTTACATGTGTTATTCTATTCTTATTTTTCAGAATACACCAATTATCAATACTCACCTTAATAATGATTTTGAGTAGTCTTTGTAGCACAGACTCTCTTATTATCAACGTAATATGTGGTGATGCCAATATTGATGGGATGCATGGCAACGATGATATATCAACATTGGTTGAGATGACATATATTGTCTTACTAGTGTTTGTGTACTGTATACCATGGGGAAAATAGTTGGCTTTGGCCTTCTAGCATCATGTTCGTGTGATGGCAAACATCATCATGTTATTGATTGTAGGGTTCAACTTATACAGATGTCAGTTATTAGTCTTATTGGTGGACATCAGCGATCATCCGTATTGCCAATAGAGTACATTAACATTGTCAACTTATAATGGACCTCAATAAGCACTCAGGGTATAAGCATTGTCGTGTTTCTTGCATGGTGAGCATGAATTGACCTTTAGATAAAACTAGCATTGGGCATGTGTTGACCTTACGGCAATAATGAGCTTGGCCATATGGAACCATTGGACATTGATCTGTTGTGAAGAAGGCATTAATCTTGTAATAATAATGAGTTCAATATACTGGCATATTGCGAAAATATCTTATTGATGATGGTAGGCATAGTATTTGTGTAATAATTGGGTATTACTGTTGGTGGCCAATAGTGAGAATTAAACTTGTGGCATCACTAGTCATTAGCCTTTGTACAATTGGGCATCAGTTGTATGATGTTCTTGGTGACATTGAGCAAATAATTTACTAGTTTTATATAATTGAATGGCTTCACAAATTAGGTTTTTGCCATAAAAAAAATAATGTATTAATAGATACCATAAAGAATTTTAAGTAAAAATTGAATTTCTAAAACTTATTAAAAAATTATAAGCTATAGCTAATTATCTTAATTAATATATTAAGCATCATCATTTAAATAACAAACTTAATGATCTAAGTATGAAGCTTGAGTTCACATACATTTTAAATTAACATTTGCCTTCTTTTAACGATGAAAACACCACCCATTCTTTTTTGCCTTACGTTAATAAGATAAATTCTACAATAATATAGTTGCAAAAAAAAGAACAAGTTTAGTTAAATCAATGTTTGTTTAGAATTGGCCTCCACTATCTATAGTACTATTTATTGATAGTGATGGTCCTTTGTTTCACGTATTCTAATATCTTTAAATATTATTATATATAATTTAGAAACACTAAACAAGATAAGTAAAACATGATCACCAAATAGCTGTACTTGAGCCCAAAAAATAGCATTAATATTCTTTTAATTTGTTTGTAGGCAAACATACTTCCACTTATAATTAGATTAATCATAACATAGAACAATGAAATACAAAAGCACTCTCTTGAAAGCTCTCCTTATAATATAAATCAACACTCTTTATTAGTACATAACAATTTGAAGCTCACTCTTGCTCAAACAAATAAGGTTTTAAGCATAGGCTCCAGGTTGGCTACAAGGTGTCTTCAACAGCCTTGACGTATTATGAAACCTTCCTTAGCCTTCTTGCATATCCTCACCAACATCAACCACCAGCAAAGGGCTTTATATGTTGCTGACACCTTCACAATTAGAGGCCATTTCCCTTTGGCTCAACCTTGATGTGCGAAGTTGCAGACTCAATCTTGCTGCCCAAATCTCCACCCTCAATAATAGAAGTCTTCAGTTCAAGCTTCTCATGGTCGATGAAATCAAGACGCTCCTTAATAAAACTAAAAGGCATCACTGCATAAAAACTCAATGTAATGAGGGCCTATTTGGGATAAAAAAAAATAAAAAAAGCATAAAAATTATTAAGCAAAAGAGAAGAGATTGAGTTGCGAACCTGGGGAGAAGTTGATCTGCCTGATGCTCCCCGGACTTCCATCTCCAGAAATTAAAGTAACACCGGTGATGATCTGAGGGATGAGCTTAGGACCGAGATTATGCCAGTCAAGGAATGCGGCCTTAAAGATGGCAGCCGCTGGGGCTTTGGTCTCCACCTCCGCAGTCCAGCTTGATGAACTCATCTTTCTCCTGGCTTGGTTTAGCTTGTTTTTGATGCTTTGTTTAGCTAGTAGATGTTCATGCAGTGCAGTATGGCTGAGCTTTTATACTGCTTTGATGGTGAGGTTGGTGAAGATTTATCTTGTCGGGATATTTGGTATTTTTCTTCAAAGGTCGGCAGCGTGGATGATTGACCGGCCTATTGGCTAGCTAATTAAAGAGTGTGAATAAGGAAAATCGCAGCTTCTCTTGTGGAAGATGGTGCAAAGCTCTCACCTAACTTCGTTAGATTGGGAAGAAAATAGAGAACAGTGCTGTTAATATAAAATATATGAATGTGGAAAGTATTAAGTAGTCCAAAATTCTGGACTTATTGACCTTTATTTTATTTTCTTCTTAATCTGGAAAGAGATGGAAACACCTCTTTTGATCCATATAAATAGTGAACAGTGTGAGGTTGGTGGCCGCGCGCATTTAATTTGGTTTGCTTTGGATGTGTTTATCTTAGGCGGGGTCATTAATTCTCCTTTAGTACTTGCGAGGAGAAAATTTTGAAGTATTAGAAAGTGTTTTTGGCCGGTAAACATATATCATTTAAATTTGTTTATGCGAAATTAAGCTAATGATAATTGATGCAGTCAGTGTTTTTTTGCGTGATGATAACTGTAAATTTAAGTAAATGTTGCGTCTGGATTTTGTGAGTGTGTACAGTAAAAGTGCAGTTGCATAGTAACCACATTTTTATTGTGCACACTTATAGAATCCAAATGGTTCTCCAATTTGGACTCTGCACGTAATGATCTCTCTTTTGCCAGTGATAGAGTCGGGGATAATTTTCATTTTTAAAAATTTGATTAACCATTTTGCATCGTGACTTGGGACTGCATTGATGGTTTTAAAAGTTTTTCATATTAGAGGTTTTATTATATATAACAAGATAAATTATTAAGTAAAGAACTTATAATTGAGAACAACCTTTTGAGTAAGAACTAAGAACACAAAATGAACAATATTGTTTTTAAGTCTCTATTAATTTTTGCGAAAGCTCTCCAAAGCTTGCAGAAGAGAAGAGTAGTGCCATAGAGAAGTGATGGGATCTATTCATAAGATTTAGTAAGTGATTTGCTCTTGAAGATGAGATTTTTAGAAGAGGGGCTATCAACCAAAAAGTTGTTCAAGTTTAAAGGGTTATATGTAGGTAAATTTTTTAAAAAATTAACCTACACATTTTATTGGGGCATTTGATGTATTAATGAGTGATTGCTTGCTTTTTAGTTTTAATTGGTTAAAATTTTTTATATTAAACAATCCTCAAATATAAAAATTTTATTTTAAAATATGATAAACGCCACTCATATGTTACTTATGAGTAAACTTAATTTTAAATTTGAATAAATAAAATGTGAGTTCTTTTTTTTTTTTTTTTTTTTAAAATTTTTTTTTTTTTTTTTTTTGAAAATTAAAATTCTATTTCATCGCCAAAAATTTTACACTGTCCTTAGAGGGATCAATAACTCGGTGTCTAAGAGCTACAATCACAAGGAAAAAGAAAATCTAAGGGGCGTTGATCCATATCTAGTTTACAAACAAGAAAAAAAAATGTAAAAAAGGCAGGCTTAGGGCCAAACCCAAAAACTGAATAGGATCAGCAACAACAACATATATGAATTATCCAATATCAATATGACTTGAAGAGCCAAAAGTACATCATGTAAGATTTTAAAAAATATATTGCAACTAGCAAATGATAAAGTCTACACATACCTTGTCACGACCCAACCCGATCGGAACGAATCCCTTCGCGTCGGGCCGCGACAAATGTTGAAAATTCAGTATCTAGTTTTGGAATTTGCTTCAGACATTCTTCCAAATTTCAGACATATAGAACATAAAACACAGAGCTACTATAACTTCCAAATATACAGAACAGTTCATCTATCATTTTCTTTTTCCTTCATCAAAACAATCATGTACAATATAGTGCATGGCTACAGACAGAAAGAACATAACAAAAAAATCATGACTGTACAAAAATCAAAAGTACAAAATACCTAATCACTGATCAGACACAGAACTGCTAGTCCAAGACTTCCTCCCTTTCACAGAACCTAAAAATCACACAGAAAATAATGATGAGCTAACAGCTCAGCAAGACTACAATTGCCCATCAAAATCTCCAGAAATTCACAACAAAAAATACATCAGAATAGGAGCCATATAGAATTCAGATAATCATACAAAAATAGTAGAATAAACAGAACAGATACTTGATCAAACAAAAATCAAACCACTGAACAGAACGGAAGAACTGAATTCACCTTACATAACAGAATAATCAAGTCAATTTTACAGAACAGATAGAATCGTACAGAACAAACAGAAGCGTACAGAACAGATTTCAAATCAGATAAAATCACATTACAATATCAGATCACATATCACACATCAGAATCAGATATCAGATATCCCTGACCCAGACAGAATCTCAATGGATTATGGCCCCTTATACCTACCTTCCATGACACAAACAGAATCTCAACGAATTCTGGCCCCTTATGCATCCCTTTGTGCTTATAGCACCAGAATAGAACAGATATACAGAATTTTCAGAATAGAACTTATTTTCTTTTCAGATTTCTCTGAAATAGACAGAATCTCAAAGGATTCTGGCCCCTTATAACTCCCTTCTGATATCACAGCACATCAAAGCATTCATTTCAAAAAAATTAGATTACGTCAGAAAAATCGTTAGCGGCATAACGGCAGTATACGGAATTTATACAGAATTCACATATTCAAAAATTTACCAAATTATCACAGATAATACAAAACAGTATTGTAAGACTTTCATTGTACTGAAGCAATATTTTTCAACATCCAGATAATTCATAGTTCGATTAAAACGCCGTAGAATCCAAAATACCTGGTAAAAATCTGTAGAAAATATTCAAAACGTGCACAAATATTATTTCAGAAACATACCAAAAGTTACGCGGTAAAAAGTTCGTCAGTGCGAAAAGAAACCAAATATTTGCTAACGGTAACCAAATCCGAGACAAAAAAGTTCTCAAATTTCTCGTTTCTGAAAATTGAGAAAGACGGAATGTGCCTTACCTCGAGTAGGTCAACTTTTCCAATTACGGCAACAGGCGAAAATATACCGAACTCGCCAAAAATCACTTTTCTTCCTTTTTCCTTCGATTTTCTCTCTCCTAGCTTTTCTCTCTCTTAAAAAAGATCTCAAACTGATATATATCCATGCAGATCGTACAGGACGATCCAAAATCATCCCGGGACGATTTGCCCATTGGACAAACTTAGTTCAGATACGAACAATAATTGTCCCTGGACGGCTTGCTCTCTGGACAAGTTTCGTCAAGACAAAACCTACTTCGTCCTGGGACGAACCTCCCAGCCAGAAATTCTGTACAAACCTGTACCGATCGTCCTAGGACGATAAAACTTCGTCCTGGACGATCCTGAAAGGAAAACTAGCTCTCACATACCTGATGTTAGAAGACAAAAGAATGGGGGATAGTTATGATCTATAGTAGAAAATTCACAAAAACAAATCCACATCTATCACAACCATTTTGACATGGCTATAATTAATAACATAATCCAGATAACATAGAAAAATAAGAGTAAACAATATATAACCCCAGTTAACATCTAAACCCTAAACCGTGGCAAAACCACTTCACAATTGAGAAAAGCATCACAACTGCCAAGCAAGATTGGAGAAGGTGCAAACCAACACCAAAAGACAGATAAAATAACAACCCAACCGTAGGAACAAAAAGTATTGCACAAATCATAACAATCCAACTAAAAAAGTAAAATCATTAGAGCCTCTTAGAGACCAAAATAGCACCATACCACAACAGAACACCCAAAAGATAGAAATAAAGAGCAAACCAAAGTACAAGATTCGCCCATAGCATGAAAACAAATTCAACCACAAAATTACGTTCTCATATAAGGAATACCCAATTTATAAAGTACCATGCCTTTAGACCAAGGCTGGAATCTTTGTAAAAATAAATGGTATTAAGGATCTTAACACCTTCCTTACCAGTCAATTAGCAGAAACATTGTCTTCTCTCAAAATATGAGAGATTCTATAGCTAACTTTATCAAGTGTAATTAATATTTTGTGAAACAAATAAAACATATTAACATTAAGGCATTTAAGGGAAACAACTAAAGTAACAAGCAATTTGGAATCCGATTCAATCCAAATATTTAAAAATTTCTTCTCGGCGCACTACAAAAGTATCATAAAAAGAGCACTTAATTCAACATACGATATATTGCCATTGGAAATTATAGACGCAAAATCATATAAAACTCACCTTGATGATCCCTAAGATACCACTGCAACCAACACCACAACTAGTAATAGAACCATCAATATTAAGTTTAAATTCATGAACATGAGGTTTGATCCACCTCAATATTATATGATTTATATACTTTTCAAAGTTTAGGCAATTAATGTTGAAATACAAAAAGCATTAATTGTGAAATAAAAAATGAGGTGTTTTAACCTTAACTATTTAAGAAATAAGAAAGCTCATAAGGGCCTAATAAAATGATAATTGGCATGCAACTGTGATATCAACATAAGTAGTAGAACCCTTTAACCAATTGTGCTAACATGCCTAATTAGGTACCATTAGTTAAAAAAAGTATTTATTTTATTTATATTAGGTAGTTTGGGGCCCTCTCGTGCCCTAGGGGCTTTAGGCATGAGGCTTAGCATTTCCGTTTGATTTCTTAGTTTTAATTACTAGGAAGTCGTTTCTTTTCATAGGCCACATATATTCATATAATTTTATTGATATGTTTTCATCACTCTTAATCATTATGTTTATTATTCTTATACTTTGATCTCTCTCTTTGCTCTTTCTTGCATATTATTATGTATGTGTTGATGCTGCTAAGACACTGGAGACATTATCTCATATGAATACAAATTCTATCCTAAAAGCACTATTATATCAAATCTAAAAAGCAATAGAAAAACACACTTAATTTAGATTTTTCTAGAACTTCTTATCCAAGATA